GAAAATGATTGATAATAAAAGTATTAAGAATTTAACGAATATTTGAGACGATATAGATGTAAATTTATTGAAGAGAATAAACGCTTCGTTTTTTTTTTTTTTTTTTTTTTTTTCTTTTTTCTTTTTTTTTTTAATAGTTCGTTCGACGAAGTGAGATACTGCTTTTCATCAATCCGATCAGTTCAATTGTTGATAAAGATCTTCTATTTGAGGCTTGAAGTACGCTTTTAATTGAGGCCTTTTCGTTTTTAACGTTGGCGTTAGAAGACCATTTTGCATAGAAAATGGATCCGGATGTAAGTAAATATCTTTGACCTATTTTCAAAAATAATCAAATGTATCATTCGGCCCTACGTTCCTTTACGATCATACGAAAAACGCAAAACATAAATTTTATATCGCGTTTATTTTATTATTACGCGAACATTTCAAATGATCGAAATAATTAAACACATGCACGCGTTTAAAAATGTATTCTTTTTTTGTTGTTGTTTATATATTTTAAAAATAAAATTTACCTGTTCGAATGACCTCAAACCCGCTTCTTTTCCCCACGAGTGCATATCGTCCAATATTAACCTTTTGACTTCCGGATTTGCACAAAGAACGCTCAATGTACCTGGTATACCATTTTCTACTGCCCAGCATTTAACTACATCTACATCTGGTACAACTATGCCTACTACGCACGATTTTAAAGATTCACCATGGACGAATACTTGATGTACGTATTGACTACGTAAATAGATATTTTCTATTTTTTCAGGAACGATATATTCCCCTTGGGACAATTTAAAAATATGTTTCTTTCGATCGATTATTTTTAATGTGCCATTCTGAAAACAAAAATTACATTATATATATATATATATATATATATACATACGAAGACACTTCTGTAAGTATTATATTTCATAAAAACAAAAAGGATAATTTGAAATATGAATCCTTACGGGTAACCACATGCCAACGTCTCCCGTGTGATGCCATCCAAGTTCATCAACTACTTCTGCCGTTTTATCTGGATCTTTGAAATAGCCAGCAAATACATTGGTACCTTTAACGCAGACCTCGCCTTGATTGTTTATAGCAAAATATTCCATTTCTGGTACGTCTACTAATTTAACGCAGCAACAGGCTACCGGTGGTCCCACGTGTTCTGGTACATGATCACCCTTGCAATTTAAAAATCACACGTTATATCTAATCATAATGCATTATACAAATGCATTACACAAATTTATATTATCAAACGCCAATGTACCATATCATTATTATTATTATTATCATTATCATTGTCAACGTCATCATCATCCGTTTATAAACTACACATTTGTTCGATAAAATAATTATAATATAACATTTATATGTGAAATTAATTCGCGACGAATTTTTCTTGTTTCTTTCTTTTTTTTTCGATTAAAATTCAACGTAACATATATTTGAATGAACAATTATATACATGCGATACAGAAAAAAAAAGAAAAGCATCAGACAAAAAAAGAGAAAAGAGAGAAAGAGATCGTTATTAACGTATTTACGTTTGCTATATAACGTTATGTATGCATCACTACATTTTCATCCAATGAATCCGCACAAGGTACTTTTAACAGCGATGTAACTACCGGCTGATACAGCTGTCCGACTACTATATTGATCCTCTCAAAGGTTTGCCAAAAATAGTGTGCTCGCGTGTATGTCACTTGATTATTTGTCAGCTCTCTTTATTCGAATAGTCTGGTGATGTTGTTGCGAAGAAACGGTTTGACGTTCTGTCGATTAAACACAAATTTTTTTTCTTTTCTCTATATAAATAATATATATATATATACATTTATTATTAATTATGTGTTATAATTTATTATATAATATATATTATATAATATAATTTATTATATTACTATAATTATATAATATATATATAGAAATATATGTATATACAAAATAGAGAATAAAAAGAAAAAAGAAAGCGTGAAAACTAGAGACACATGTATGTAATAATAATAATAATTAAGGTGGTACACTTATAAAAATGATATGCATGCATTTAAAAGGGGAGAAAAAGAAAAAAAGTAAAAGAAAAGAACATATGTACAGACATCGAGATAACGACAGAAAGCATAAATCGTGTTCCTCGCTGTTATAACAAACTTCCGCGTGCTTAATTTTCTTTTTTTTTTTGTTTCTTTGTGATTAAGTAAGAGCCGTACACAAGACCGTGGGACGTGTATATTAAAAGTTGATGTTGTGCATCACGAGAGGTTTATTTGTGGCGCGTTTATTGACCGTCTCATTTGAATCACGAGAGTACCTACTTCAAATTCAAACACGCCTCGCTGAATTTACTTCTGCCGAATAATATCTCACTCTCTCTCTCTCTCTACATATATATATATTCTCGATTACGAAATATATCTCTCAAAGAGTGGGATTGACAGCGCTGAAAGAAAGAGAACAAGGAAAAAAAGACAAAAAACATCACACAAGTTTTTTAAAAAGAATTTCGAAACACTTAGAGAAACCTATTACGAGACAACGACAAATTGGCGATAAAAAGAAAAATAAAATAAGAAAAAAAAAAGAATTCTACGATAGAGGAAATAGAAATAAAAAAAGAAAAAAAAAACCATTAGTCGTAAAAAACATTCTTCAGTATTTTCCCCCTATAATTATAGTTCCCCTTGCAACGTGTTAGTGTTTATTACCATTAGGGTGAAACAAAAGTTCGCGCGTTTATTGTGTTCCACAAATTGTGTTATAAACTAATTTATATATACTATATTACATAGAAAATATATATATATATAATGGATTGTTTTTTGTAATAAACAAAAATAACTAATAAAACTATAAAATATTTTGTAAAAAATTTACTTTGTAAAATATTCATTAAAAAACGCACGAAATTTTTGTTCCACTCTAATACAATTTTAACGAATTACTTAAGCAAAATTCACGCGTTAACTGCAGAAAATAATATAAGAAGACAGAAGCGTTTCTTTCATTATATGAAAATAAAATAAAACCCCCTACTTCTGAATTTTCGTTTTCGAACACACCATAGATAAATTCCGAGCAAATCATCGATTTGTATTCTTCGAACCTGTATAGTTAAAGTGATCGGTGCGCAACATTCCGTTTGACCATATCCCTCGACGACGAGACAACCAAGAGCACACCTCGTAAAAGTGAGAACATTACCAGCCAATGGTGCAGAACCAACAAGCATCAGTCTCAATCTACCACCCATGGATTCTTGAATTTTCTTGAACACCAGTCTGTCCCAAACACCGTTGTTCCTAACTATACTCTTCTTTATTTCGTTTTCCTTCGAACGCATTCCCATATTAAATAACATTCTTTTGAAAAATGAACTCTGCAGTTCCGATTGTACCTGAAAAATCAAAACGAAACAAAATGAAATGAAGTAAGAAGAAGAAGAAGAAAATAATATAATACGAGAGATAATAAATATAATAATAAATATATAATAAATTAATATATATAATAATAATATATTCAAAAATATATTATATATAAAATAATAAAAAAATGACAAAATACGAACAAGAAAAACTGTGTCCATACACATCAGTCAGAATATTCTATATTTAGGGGAAGCACCAAGTGTATATATATATATGTGTGTGTCTTCTGACTGGCTGAATTATATCTATGTTCTTTGGCAGACGACTTAAACCGGCACGTCAAGTCCGTTGCTTCTAGTACGGCAATCGATTCGACTGTTAAACGGCTTAAACTCGTGAACCTGTCAACGTGAAGGCCCATATTGACTAAGTTAACAATTATTGACCATCAAACTAAGAATACGATTTCCGAACCGGATATGTCGTTATTTTCAACCTTCGTAATATGGATCGTACATAACGGGAATAGATTATTTGTTTTTGCATTTACTGTTAATAAATATATGAATACTTTGATGAGAAGAAGTCTTATATAAACCGTAAGAAGCCAAGTTCAATTTCCTTTGATTTCTCTTAGCTCGCGTGCCGGCGGGATGATCACGTTTGTTCTTATTGTTTAATCATGATTAAACTTTCTTTCCGAGAAGATCAAAAATATTTCTTTTTAGTTTATAATTATACATCCCTATTCTATACAACGTTATCTTAAATTAGATTTTATTTTTGCTCGCGATAAATGTATGGATGTATGGATGTATGAACGAGGTGCAGAAATGAAAATAAAGTGTTACATTTAAATCATAGAATTCTGATGAATTACTATTTGTCTCGTATATATGTATATATATATATATACATAGAGGATGTAGGTGTAGTAAAGTGTAACGTATTATTATTGTATTCTTGTATTAGCTATATGCCAGGAATTCGTAAATCTTCTCTTCAGAACGACCCACGTAAAATCCGTGGAGAATCTAAATATTAACTCGTAGAGATCCGCAGTAGTAAAATATTCGAATAGCATAAAGGAATAGTTCTATTCTAAATCCTATAGATACGTAACGTAACGCGTGGCCTTCGAATTTACCGGCAAAACTAATTTAGCTGTATGAAAAAAAGAAAAAAAAAAAAAAACAAAACTATTATTATTCAA